TCTCTCCGCAGATGCCGAGTTTGCCGAAGGGGCGTCCCTGCCGGACCTGGACCTGCTGCACGACCCCGAGGATGAGCTGCTCTGCGCCAACCTGATGGACGTGGTCCAGGCCACGCTGGGCAGGGCCCCGCTGGGCGCCAAGCGCTGCTCCCGGCTCCTCATGCCGGCCCAGCTCCTGGCGCAGGTGAGGACGGAGCTGCTGCGCCTGGCCTGCAGCGAGCCCTGCGGCCTGCGCGGGGCCCTCCTTGACCTCTGCGTGGAGCACGGCAAGGCCTGCCACGACGTGGGGCACATCGCCGTGGACCCTGCCGTGGTGCCCACCTTCCAGCTCACCCTGGTGCTCCGGCTGGACTCCCGCCTCTGGCCCAAGATCCAGGGACTCTTCACCTCGGGGCCAGCTTTCACGCCGCTCAAGCTCAGCACGGGCTTCAGGGTCATCAAGAAGAAGCTGTACAGCTCCGAGCAGCTGCTCATAGAGGAGTGCTGACGGCCGCGCCGGGGCAGCCACTGACCGAAGGGCTTTGGAAGAGCCGCTCAGAGCGCGGCGGCTCCCAGCGGCCGCTGTAGTTTAGGTTAGGCTGGAGTAGGGCTGTAGGTGGAAGTAGTTTGGGCAGGTGGAGGTCCCCGCGGGGCACCTGCCTGTGCCGGGGTGTCCCTGGAGCAGACGGGGCCCCGGGCAGAGGTCGCTTCACACTGTCGATGATTGATTGTGGGATGACTGCGACGACCGCGCTCCGGGACGCGGCAGCGGGGCTGCTGGGGGGCAGATGGTCTCCTCCTGTTGGTTGGTTAATCATGTTGGTTTTGTACCAAGCATTGTAATCAATGGGGTTTTGGGGGGAGGGCGTGTGTGGGAGCGATGGATGGGCTGTAGGGCTGGATCAAAGACAAAACCCCACCCTTGGCACCTGGGTGGCTCTGGGTGGGCTGCCAGCATGGGGGGGGTGTGTGTGTGTGTCTGGAATAATGTTGTGTCTTTGATCACGAGAGGGGAGAGTGGTGTGAGAGGGACGTGTGAGGTGACACGGGGATGGAGGGCAGGACCCCTCAGCTGACACACCGTGGGCGCTTCATTGGTTACAGTTTACACTCATACACTTGATGTTCAAGTGCAAGACTTCCTATGCAATCGTGTCGGGGTGGTTTTTTTTACTTTTCTAATAAAACTTGTCTTAATTAATAACCTGTTGTCTCCTTGTTGTCACTCTGGCTTGGAGAGGGATGATGCAAGTGCTCCCCGATGATCTGAAATCTGTGCTGGCATCCTGGGGAAGTCTTTCCCTGGCGGGGCAGCCTCTGTGGGAAATGGGGGGGAATCCTGCTGTGCACAGGCCTAATTGCAGGCCACGGGGTTGTGACTCAGGGGGAGCCGAGTCAGGCACCTGAGCCAGCCCGTGCCTGGGGCTGGGCTCCCCCATACCCCAGTGAGGGGCTGCTGCTCCTCCCCTGGGAGCTGTGGGGGGGGAGTGGGCAGAAACCCAGGAAATTTAGCTGAAAGTGTGAGGGAGGGAGATGGGGAGGGTCACACCTGCTGGGGAGAAGAGCTCCACGGCTCCAAACACACTGCAAAAAATGAGACCAATTAACCAAGCCTGCAATTAGAGGCACTTGGAGAAAAGGCTTTCACTAAAGGGTAATTAAGCTGCTTGGCAAATGAAGAGCCCTCGGAAGGTGTGGGGGATAAAACCAGCCTGAAAAAAACTTTTCCATTCAAATGCAAGTTTGTTCTGGCTCAGGCTTCTGGTGTTGGTGGTGTGGTTGGTTGCTTTTTGTTTTTTTTTTCTTCTTTCTCCTTGTGGACAAATGTGACTTTTTGATGAAAATTTTCACCGGAGAAGTTGTTTCTGAAAAGGACAACCCACAGCCGGAGTGTTGGGAGCTGAGGTTGCTCACACATGTAAATACCACCTGGGAGCAACCAGGGCAACAAGCAGCACTGGGTGGGTACAGCTGGCAATGTGCATTTACAAACCCAGACTGTGCAAAGGGGGAGATTTTCCCCTAAAATTCTGGGGACTGGGGCGTTTCTCAAAGGGTCATGTGCCAGAGCACCCCCTTCTCACGTGAGAGCCATCCCTGTGCCCGGGTCAGGCACGGCCGTGCCCTGCAGCCTTGGCCAGGAACAAAACCACTGTCAAACTGGCCCAGGAGTCACTGAGCGGGCTGGAAAGGAAACACCAAAGCCAAAGTTTTTTTGGGAGAAAAAAAAAAAAAAATCACTAGAGGAGCAGGTTTTGGCACCGCCGGCACGGGGTGGAAACGGCACATTGCTCCCCAGGCACGGCGAGAGATTTACGGCGCGGTGACGGCAGCAGCACCAGTGCCTGGGCTCAGGCCGTGCTGCCACCCTCTGCTGAGGCATATTGTGTCTTGGAGCTATAGATATCTCTCCATAAATACTTGTATTTTTATATACCGAGCTCCTAAGCACGCAGAGGGGCTCACCCCATGACTCGCCGTGCCGCCAGCAGCAGCGTGGCCCCCACTCACCCCCTGCCAGCCCTCCCAAAGGTGGGCGAGGGGCTCTGCATCACATTTAAAAAAATGTTTATTACAAAGAATAATCAAGACTTTGCAGAAAACATACCCCACCCCCCCCACCCCCAAA